AACCTCTTGCTTGATATTCTCCATTGTTCTCTTAGCGCGAGTGTTGTACTGGTGAGACCAAAGGAAAAATAAGACTCGAAAAAAAAAGACCTTTGAAAGTGAAACAAAAAATGTAAAATGATGTATGATATGCAAAAGAGAGTTTTTATTTGATTTTCAAGGAACTCAAGATATTAAGTTGTAAACATCAAAGTATGAAGATAGAAGATGGATTTTAAATTGGCTCCAAACATTGATCAAGTTATCATCAAGATCAATCATCCATTTTGGTGGATTAGGGTTTTCGCCCTATCAACACCCAAGATCCATTGAGCTTGACGAAACTTGTGATGTTTACAAAGAAAGACCTCCAAATTCCTTCAAAGTCAAGTGAAAAGGGTTTTATGGTTGCATGAATGCATGGCTATGCAACAACCACAAGCAAGGTCACAAATAAAGTCGAAAGGTTCAACGTCAAGAGCATGGAGTCAAGGTAAGGAACACCCCCAAGGTATGTACTAACGGTTTAATCACACCTGTAGAACAAGGTTCTAAGAGTTCCCGGAGTCTACATTCCTCCTTCGGATATTACCAACGTCTTGATTACTCAATAATCAGCAATATTCTCAAGAGAAACTCATCCGAGCGTAGCATCGCATAACAATTACTTCCGGATTACTCCGTTATAATCTCCGTGCTACACCTAAAAGGCCAAGATGGGTTAGGGTTCTACGGTTCCCAGCTTCTCTGGCTCCCAGGTCGAAAATAATAATGTCTTCCCGATTACTCGGTAAACAAATATTACGTTCAAAAGGGCCTTCCACTGAGTGGGGGATCTCATGCCTCCTTCTTCGGGATTACTCCCTCAAAGTTAACATGACTATACCGCCCGTCCTATTCCTAAGTGTAACTTAGTCCGGGTATAGGACTTGTCCTTTGTAAATATTATCAACACCCAAATAATCATAATATATACATATAATCAAACAATCAAATAATGATAAAACAGATAAAACAAATTAGGCTTAACCCACTTAGGGATGGACCAGCAAGAGGTCAATCTTTCCCCAGCAGAGTCGCCAATTCTGTAGCGGTGAAAATCGGAGATCAAGCTATTAATTAACTTAACTCACAAAAGCAAGAGTCGCCACCGCGCTTTATTATTTCCAAGGGAAAAGGGAAAAGAGCGAAATAAAACCCTAAAGTATGCAATGTAAAATAATACTTAAAAGTAATAAAAAATACAATGCGTTTTTTGAAAGAGATCGAGAGTTCGGGGGTTGGTTATACAATGGGAAGGTATTAGCACCCAATGCATCTGCGGTACTCCGCAAGAACCTTTTGAAATATCTGTTTTTTGGTTAGAAATTGTTTGTTTGATTAAAATGGTTTATTTGGTCAAAATGGGTATGGATGAGATTTTGAAGATACGACGACCTCGTGTCGAAGTTTTGACTTAAAAGGTGTGAGTTTGAAAATGGGGTCTTTTGGGAAAATTATCTTGAGTTTAGCAAAATAGTAACCAAACAAAAAATGAAAAAAAAAGGGTATTCGCACGATCGGATGGGGTGTATTTGATGACGTGAAGTCAACAAATTTAAATCTTTTCCTTGGAGTAAGCAAAATGAAATGAACATCAAAATATAAACATTCAAAAGTTCACAAGAAAATAAATCTGACAAAAACAAATTAATGATCAAGAGGCACCGAGAAATTGAAATGACAGAACTATACAAATAAAAAGGAATATAACTAATTATCTAAAGAAGTTATTCTAACTAAATTAAAAAATTACTTACTAAAATAATTCTAAACTAATTACAAATTCTAAGGTTATAAAAAAATCTAGTATTATTGAATTTGATCTAAACTAAACTAAAGCTTTAAAATTTAGTAAGTTAAATCTAGATTAAATTAAAATCCTAAGGTTACTAAATTAAATCTAAAACAAATGAAAATTTCAAAGTTACTAAACTAAATCTAAATCAAATAAAATTCTAAAACTACTAAACTAAATTTAAATCGAATGAAAACTCTAAAGTTATTAAACTAAATAAAAATTATAAACTTATTAAACTAATTCTAAATCAAATAAAAATTATAAATTTATTAAACTAATTCTAAATCAAATAAAATTCTAAAGTTATTAAACTAAAACTAAACAAATAAAATTCTAAAGTTAATTCAAATAAAATCAAATAAAATTCTAAAGTTATTAAACTAAACTAAAACAAATAAAATTCTAAAATTTACTAAATGAAATAAAATTCTAAAGTTATAAAATAAATCTAAACTAATTAAAGAATTCTAAATTAATATTAAACTAAATTAATTATAAGATTTACTAATATATTTTTTTTATATTTTTTATAACTAATTAAAAGGAATTTAATTGCATTAACCTAAATATCTAAAAGTATAAAGAAATAAAAAGGGTGTATATAAGCATGTTATTGGCCCTTTAGGTCCAAACTCAACATAAAGATATTAACCCTAATTTTGAATGAGTGCCATTGATAATAAACAAACATAAATTTTAGACCAACCCTGAATACCAGCAGCGGCGCCTCATTGAGGTTTTGACTTCTTTAACTTTTCCAATTAAGCACATCCACCATATGTCTCTTTCTCACTTCCACTTTCCTTTGTTTCTAGCACGCCTCATCTTCCTTTGTAAGTGTCTTCTTGCAAACTGAAACAAAGTCCTTCTCCCGTTGGAACTCAAGCTTATAAGGAGCACTAACCAAACGATCCCCATTCAACACTTCACCTAATGCTTCCTTCTTCTCTTTCAAATGATCTGGCAAACAGAATGGTAGATCAAAATAACGATAAGTCTCACTGGGGTTATGGAAGGGACCAACTTTGTTAGCGAAAAGAGGAACTAAATCTGCTTCTTTTTAACAGTGATCTGACGAATCAGATCTGACGGTGGAAATGAGAGAAGAAATTGAGAAGGCGATGATGAATAGAAGCTTCATCTCCGCCATTAACGATTGTTGATTACTACTTCAACCAAAACGAATCTGAGTTATAATTGAAATTTGAAATGAAACGAGTCAAGTGAAAGTGAAAGAGGGGGTATCTGCTCGTGGATGAAAGGAGAGCGGAGTCGGAAAAGTGACGGACGAGGAAGAGTGGGAGTATGAAGGGTGTTGTTCTAAGCTGTAGCAATTGGAGTGAGCAGGAGTATGCGCTTGACATAGTTGTTTGACCGTGTTGTTGAACATTTGGTGATGAGATGGTGGTGATACAGTGGTGTCTATTGGTGTTGGTCGGTCTGTAGCGTAGCCGCTGAGAAGGAGTATCCAATGTTTGTAAGTGGACAAAGAGTTTACAGATTACATAGGGAGTATCTGGCGAACAGAGTTATAATAGGGTTGGAAGTTGCAAACAGCTCGCGAATGGTGGCTCCTGGGTTGGTCAGGGGTGGAAGACAATGAAGTGGTAGTGGTGTCTCACAGAGGTTGTCTGAAAGTGGTTCACAGGTTATTGCGGCTTTAACCAACTTTTCTTCTTCTTTTATTTGATTCTAAAAGGAAAAGGCAAGGCCGAGCTATGTCGGCGGTAACACGCAGGTAATGATTCCTTCTCACTTGTGTTCTACTTTTTCTACTGCTTCTGGATTCAGTTGTTATTGTGAGTGTTTAGTTGTGAGAGAGAGTGTGTATTTTAGTGATACATTCTGAAGTTGTTGTGTATGTGAGATTGAAGGTGAAGTATGGTTTTGCAGGTTTAATGAAGTAGGTTGAAGGTTTAAGCAAAGAGATTTAGTGAAGCATGAAGGTCAGAGTTATAATGGAGGGTTAAGGTTTTGGTTACGAGGTTAATGGAGGTGGATGAGCAGAGTTTTGTGAGTGATTTTTATGGTTTTCTCTGCTTGTTGTTGGTGTTGACAGTGGGATTTAGGAAGAGGTTTTTATGATGTGATTCTTTTTTCTTCAGATTTTTTATGTTGCTGGTATCTATATCTATCTCTTTTCGTTAACCAAGTCTAGGTTTATAGAGAGAACATAATGAAATTTTTGGGGGGAAAGGTTGGTGAATGCAGTGCCTTGTTTCATCTCCTTTTGATGCAGTTTCTACTTTTCTATTTTTGTGAAAGTTTAGACTGTTTTTGGACAGGTTTTCGGCAAGTTATGGTACAGGTTTTACATCAAAGCAGTAGCAGGTTTTTGGCAAGTTTTGGTACAAGTTTTACATCACAGCAGTAGCAGGTTTTTGGCAAGTTTTGGTACAGGTTTTACATCACAGCAGTAGCAGGTTTTTGGCAAGTTTTGGGCATTATTTTTGGACTGATGTGCAGGGTTTGGAGCAGCATACTAATTGACAAGTTCACAACAATTTAACAAACTAATGAAAGTAAAGATCCCGTGTTATTTTATCATTCAAAAACCACTCATAGAAATGTGCAAGATTTTAAATAGTAAACAGCTGAAGGGGTTTGGCTGTCAAGATAATGATTTACAGATTGCAGTGCCCCGGAATGTGAATTAAACAATATTGTATAAACAAAGAAAAGAAACTATTTAATGGCATACTAGTGGTAATTAATATGTCTTGTTACACAAAATTGCTCTAAAGGAAAAAAATTTCTCTACCTAAAGTGGACACACCAGTACAAACAACGAAATAGATCAACTAGACATTACTTAAAACATCAAAACTAATAAAATAATCATCGAAAAGTATAATAATTCAAATTAGAGTGCAAAGAATCCCAATTGATTTTAAAAAAAGATGTTAAGCAAGTAATTGACAACAATAAATTCTCATAGTTCAAAAATATGGCATTACAATTCAATAATATCCATTGTATTACTTAAATTAAACAAAAATCAACAAAAACCCTAATGAAATTAAACTCAGGAAAGCAAGAACCTCAGAATCCAAGCTTGGTACGGCGCCAGTGACGACGCTTAGCGTTATACCTGATGGTGTTGTCAGTCCTCATCCGGATCCAGTAAGGGATGGGCCTTTTCTGCCTCATCTTCTTCGCCAATTTCTTCTTGATCATGAAGGTCTTATGTGACGGCATTTTCGTTTCGCTGAGATGCTCGACTGCTCCGTCGAATGATAAGAACCCTAATGTTATTTGACAAATTCGGATATTTTGGCTTTATGGTATTGGTTACTTGAAAGAAAACTTCACAACAATGAATCCAAATCTTAATTCAAATCTCAAATCCAAGTTAGCTTGCAAACCACAAGAATTCAAGGAATTCTCAACCCTGATTCGCGTCTTCACCTCATAGTAATTTACAAAACAGACCAATAGCGTAAATCGTGCCTTTAAGAAATTTAATCAACAATCTACCTTAATCCAATGATCGCTACAGTTCAATTGCAAAGTGACTTGAAGTAGTCCATAAGCAATCAAAGAATCATTGGACTAAAACTCCAGTTTCATGAATCATCCCAGCAGAAAAAACAAACGTTCTTGAGAAAACGTCTGTGGCATGACTTGAACTTTAATCTTCGAAGTAATCTCATAAACAACGCTATTCGTGATACTTTGCAAAAGAAACGCCTCAGGACGTTGAAAATTGAAGAAGTTATGACCGTTTGAAATTGAACTTGCAAGAGTTGACTTTTGATCGAAATGCTTTGAATCAACTTGCAAACTTGATCTTTCTTCGCATAGTCAAAGCTCGAAAGTGAGACGTTAAAACCGACCGTATTTCGTGACCTTGACTTATCAAAAAATGCAAAAATAAAGATGGGATCTTAGGTCAAAAATTTGGGGTACAACACATACCTGCAAAACAAATTAGGTTTTGTTAGGTACCTGTTGTACCCCAAAATTTGCCCTCCCACATTTCTCAAAACATTGAAAGAAAAATCTCCAAGTTGCTCAAAGTAGTCCAAGAGTTGGTCAGACAAGCTCTCTCCTAAGGCAGTCTACCCTAAATTAGGGTTTTGTGTTGCATCAAGATCCTTGAGTCCAAATGAAATCAAATGCTCACAATTGTCTTAATATGTTCTCAAGGTCATCCATGTCAAGTTTCAAGCCTTGCAGAGAAAATTTTCTCAGTCAATTGCTCAAAGATCCAAAAATCGACGGTGCTAGGGCAAAAGTCAACTGTGACCCACATACAGTCAAAATTCAAGATTTTTTGTCAACATTATCATTTTGAAGTATATTTCATCATTTGATCAAGGGTTGATCATGATTCATCAAGGATTTCTCATAATTCATCAAGATTCAAAAGTTGCTAAATTAGGGTTTTGCAAAAAAAGTCAACTCAACTTTGACCAGGCATAACTTTCTCATACTTTATGAGAAATGACCCATCCAAAGCTCATTTTGAATAGGATGCAATTTCCTACAATCCATCTTCATCTCCCAAGATCAAAATATGCACCCACAAGAAGTTATGAATTTGGACATTATAGGTCATTTTGAAAAGTCAACAAAAACACCTTTTTTGTCAAAGCTTCATACATGAGAATGGAGTATCAAATTGAGATGATACCAAAAGGGTTGCTTAGAGGACATCTCAAGATTTCTAAAAAGTTCAAGAACACCTCCAAAGAGTCAAAATTTAGGAAGTTATGCATTGTTGAAGTTGGACTTTTTTGCGAAATTGCCAAAAGTCAACTATCCCCAAAACTTCAAATTTTGCCAAATGGCCCCATTCTTTTTCACTTGTTTTGAGTTGGCATTATAGGCCACGTGCTCCAGCTTTGTGCATGTGTCCATATCATATTTTTATTAATTATTTTGATTTTTATTTGAATTAATTTGATTTAAATAAAATAAAATCCAAAGCATTGATAACAATGGATCTTTTGATTGTTTCAGGCTTTAATCACAGCTAGCAAGGCATTGAAACTTGAATCAAGGCAAGTTGTGTACAAAAAGATTAAAATCAAGCAAAATTTGGAAGGTTGTAAAAGAAAATCAAATCAAATATTCAAGCATTGAAAGAGGAAGATTTGGACAGCATAAACAAACCTAATACATTGTGCAATATATAAGGGTCTTGTGCAGACCAAAATAAGGGTTAGAGATCAATTGGAGAGCAAGAACAAAATTTGCAAAAACACCAAAAAAGTGTGAGCTTGAAATCAAGTCTAGAGGCAGTTTCAAGGCTTGGTGTTGGTCTCAATCTCTTCCTGGAAATCTCCACAAGCGAAAGCAAGCAAAACCACGCGTTTTCAGACCCTCCAGAGCACTGTAAGTCACTCACGAACTCGCCCTTTTTGATTTCATATTTTGAAATTTAGGCATAGTTAGCATGAAATGATGGCATATTTTGAATCTACAAATCATTTGTAAGCTTTTGGTGTTACTCAATTGCATTTATATGACCTGTAATGAGATCCACCATTGTTAGGATTTCGTTTTTGTTTTTGGGGTTTTTCGTTTCAGGAACAATTAGCCCTAATAATGGGCATGGTTGCAATCAGGAGGATGAGACGACCTCAACTATGGTCTTAGAATGCATTTCCATGGCCTGTAGGAGATTTGGGAGGAACCCCTGTCTGTAGCGACGAACATTTGTCCGTGGGTATAGATGTTTTTGTTTTTAGCCACAGTTGGAGGACAAGGATGATGGGTTGGCACTCCACCATTCACCCATTCAAACAGCGCACACGTTTTTTTATTTTTTTCTGGCTATTAACTTTTGTTTTTACATATTATTATTGCATTATATTATACTAGCAAATGAAGCAACATGGCCTAGTGGTAACCACATCAGCGCATAAGGATCCCAAGGCTGGAGGTCAGGGGTTCGATCCCTGCCTCCAGTAATTTGCATTTTCTTGTTTATTTTTAGGGAATGTAGTGCATACTCAAGCCTGATGTCCACTATGCTCATCCCTCATCCATGCGCCAGATGACCAGATTTGGTGGCCAGGCATTGAAGGCACACCATAGACAAGTCAACGCACGCGCACTGGATTGGAAAATAGTCAAATGGATCAGCCTTATTGGGCCAACCAATTGCTATTCACACACCCAAATCTGGCCCACTTTCTATACTTTTCTTTTATTTTGTTTATTTCATTTAATTATTTTATTTGTTTTTTATTTAATTACTAACCAATAGAATATTTTCTTTTTTATCAAAAAATCACAAAAAACACTTTTTATCCAATTAAATTTCAGAATTTTATTTTTATAAATATTAATTAATTAATTAGGTTTTTAATTCTAGAATAACTTTAATTTATTTTTGTAAATATTTAAAACTAATTAGAATTAATAGGTTTTAATCCCTAATTTAATTATTTTATTTTCTTCCCAAAAATATCAAAAACTCCAAAAATATGTCATTAATTATTTTTCATTAATTAATTAATTTAATAATTAATTTAGCATTTAACTTTAGGATTAATTTCTTTTCTTGAAAATAAAAACAAAAAAAAACATTTTCTTTAACCAAAAAGGTCAAAACCCTAATTCCGCATTCGATCTAATTCACTCGCGCGATTTATCTTTTCCTTATTCAATTATTAATGTATCTGCTTCTGGTTTGTAATAATTAATTAGGATATTTATTTCTCTGTATTTACTTTTAAAGGGTTGCTTTTGGCGATGTAAATACCCGATGCCTTGTAATAATTTAGTTTAATTTCCGCACCTTTAATTTATGCAAATATATAACTGCTAGATGTTTGGTAATAGGGTTTGCATGACAAGAATGAATGCTTAATCTTAAAATCAAATTAGATCACCCTAACACGTGTAAAGATAAAAATAACTAAAAATCAACACACTCGCACATGCGCACTCCTAGGGTACACCCCACTAGGTTGCCTTCGTACACGGTCATTGAGTATAGGTCATTTTAGAGGTCGTCCTCTTGTCTAAAAGATCATATTCGCCTCAAAATGGTTGCCTCGGATATTGTTGCCTCAAACAAATGATCTAAGACATTAGGGTTACCGCTAAGGCGTCCTAACATTATTTTAGTGACTGTATGTCCCTCTTTCGAATTGACCCTCAAACTCCAACGACGGTACTACCCACTCACTAATAGTGGGATAGCATTGTCTAAAGGAAATTAGCATAGAACGATTCCTTTTTCGAGTAGGTAGATTAGCTCTTAAGTACTTGCTCTTTCAAAATAAAATTCTTTCACACTTACACTTTTACAAACAGGTTTTCAAAAAAACACTTCATTACACTCTTGAGGACAGAAGCAAGAGTTAAATCAAAGTTAAAACAAAAACTTTTCAAACCCACAAGCATAAAGAAAACAATTTTGAAAATGATGAGCAAGTACCTAAGAGCCCGTAGATAACTACGGATAGAAGGGGTGCTAATACCTTCCCTTTCTATAATCTACCCTCCGTACTCAGAAATATCTCGAAAAATGAATTTTTCTGTGCTTTTTTCCTTTCCTTGTTGGATAAAATAAAAGTCGGTGGCGACTCTTACTTACCGCGACATTTTGCAAATACAAACGCAAAACGCAAACCAGCATTCCAAAAACCAGTCAGTTCTGGCCACCGTATCACAGAACTGGCGACTCTGCTGGTGATTTAATAAGTGGGGTGTACCTTAGGATTAGTTCATATTGTTTTCAATTGCTTAATTTGTATGCTTTATCTTTGTGGGTTTGAATCGGAGTTACTATAGATCCTAACCCGGATCTGGGGATACCTTTTAGGTAAGTAGCAATAGACTGTGAGGGAACTGTACAACATAGACCGATACGATTGAAGCAGTAACTACGTTGGTGTGGCACTTTAGTTTGTACCGATATCCCTTGTGGTGGAACATGGAGAATATGGGGCTGCTAAGAGGTCATTAAGCACCAACTGACCTTAGAACCTATAATTATCCAACTTGGCCATAGAAAAGTAGCAGTATGCTACACTCATTGAGACCATACTCTCGCGATGATTCCGGCTGCAAGAAAAGGTTGCTAAACTGGAATTATGACCGATCGAGGATGGTCAGTGATATTGAGAACCTCTAGAACCCGGTTACTATTACTAGGACATGTTGAACCAACTAAACTGCAAGAGGGTAGTACCTAAATTCCATGCCAGCCTGAAATTTAAGGGCTATTGTGT